TGACTTGCATTCGTAATGAGTGACAAAAGAAATTTCTTACCTTGACTCTTACTCCATTAATACGGAAATTACAGCCCGACCATTCAGAGGATGTGTCTGTCTAAAATACTAAGTTTGAAGCTTGTCATTTTATTCCACGGCTATGTTGCTTTTGCATTTTAACCCTTTACATAGATGTCTACAACAGTGTTTAAATGGTTAGCGTTCAAAATATTAGGAGATATTTTGAGAAAAAGATGGCAAACAAAACTCGAACGTCCAATAGCATATTAATCGAACAACTATGATTAGGATCGGTACATCTTTGACATGCATTTTAATGTGAGTTGTGGCTGCGGCAGTATAATTTATTGTCAGCTACACTACTTATATAGATAACTACCTCTAAAGTTTTAGCAGCTCGAGCTTTGCTTCCCGATCCCCCACGTTCGGCACAGCCATTCTCAATCATCACGAAACCTGGGGGAGTGTCAACGACATCTCTATCAGAGGCTGAGACGCCCTCCTTGTATAAATGGCATTGCTGTTTTGTGGAATCGAACACAGCTGTCTGAAAAGTCTTTCATTTACTCTCATCAGTAATAAAAATAAGAAAAAACTAACCTTGCAAGCATAAGCGTTGAGACAAGACCGCAGGCACGATGTGATGCTGTTTGACGTTGTCTGATGGATTGGGATACCAGATAAACTCTTTTGGACGTGAAGAATGAAAATTTCGTCATTTTGACACCTTTGTGTTGTTTCTTAAAATGTTCATACCATCAACAGTTGAACAGAGCTCTATTCCTTGGATCTGCAAAGTAACATCTACCTGGTAAACAAAACTTCTCAGCGTAAATCACATCTTGGTTCTCGACCAAACTTCCAGGACCATGCGGTTCAGCCAGAATACTATACAGCTCACATTTTCGAGAAATTGGGAAGTAGTTGAGAGAATTGCAGATGAGTTGTTCCTGATCTGGTCCCTACATTAAGGCAACATATCTTAAGATGGCATGTACTACGAAATAATGAGTAAAAGTTGTTTTAACCTGATTATTGCTGCAAAAATTGGCGCAGTTTCCCTGATCGACATCGTTGTATACCTGAGATTCAATTCACTAAGATCACTGGTTTTAATTCTTAGAAGTTATTACTACAGGTTACCTTTACTTCACCTCCATTCGAAATTGGTCTAACAATTTCATTTCCAATCACAACATAGTAAGCATTATTCGTAAGACAACTTTCTAGATTCAAAAAAAACAGCTTGTTAATTTAAGATTTGTATTTATAAAAAATTTACCGCTAGTAATTACTTCTTCAGTGCTCTTTTCTATCGTATTAAGTTCTTTTGTTGCCTTCTTCTGAAGAACTTGAAGGTTTCTACTGGGTGCATCGACTCTGAAACTATTATGAAAAGACGAAACGGACGCAGTAAGTTTTTAAAAGCTAATAAATTCAACTTTTTTAGAAAGACGGAACGGAAACTGGCCGGCAAAGATTAAGACGGGCTTTGAAGAGAGACGAATCTTTTTTTATTATTGTAAAACCCAACTAAAACTGCAGAGGGTGAGCGCGACGGTGGTTTCTGGGAAACAATATTGGTTTTTTTGCAGTGACGTTCCAGTAAAATG